GTGTGTGTGTGTGTGTGTGTGTATGTGTGTGCGTATGTGTGTATTTAGGTGGGAAAATGGTATAGCAGATACACTGAAGGAAGTGGGTTCTCTCTTCTCACTCAGATTTCCTTCTATCTACTGGAGTGAACTCTCACTCTCTTTAATGCTTTTTAACTCATAAATCCAATGGCCTTTTCTCAATCCACTAATTCCTAAGCAGTCAGTTAACCTTTTGAATACCTGTAATTGTCTGTCATTTGACAACTTCTACCCATTCCTCCCAGCTCTTCCCTCAGTTTTTTTTTGTGGGGGGGAGGGGGCAAAGCAATGGGGTTAAATGACTTGTCCAGGGTCACACAGCTAGTAAGTATCAAGTGTCTGAGGCCGGATTTGAACTCAGGTCCTCTTGACTCCAGGGCCAGTGCTCTATTCACTGTGCCACCTAGCTGCCTCCTTTCCTCTATTTCTAATCAGAATGAACCTTATCCTTTTATGTGCCAACTACTCAAAAACTTGAAGACAGTTAATGCTTCTCTTCCCATTCTCCATTCTCCTTGCTCCCTTCTGGACACATTCCCTAGATGATTAACATCCTCCTTAAAATGTGGTACCCCATACTGAACTCAGTGGCCCAGATATAGTCTGATCAGAGTAGAATGCCTATTATAGTATTATTACTGAATAGTACATTTTTTCTCAAACAACCAATTAAGCCTTTACCAGTCATTGTGCTTGTTCCTGGGGATACAAAAGCAAAGAATGAAATAATCTCAAATCTCAAGGAGTTTGCACCCTAACAGGGGAGAAAAGTACATCTATAATTATAAACAAAAAAAAGTACAAATGAAAACAAATTGATGATACATGGTAGTTTGGTCAAGAGGGCCCTAGCAGTTGGAGCAGCATAGGAAAGATTTCATGAAGAAAGTTGTTCTTTCTTGCTTGAAAGAAGAAGGTGTTTCTATGAAGAGGGATGAGGGAGGAAGAGTGTAGCATTGCAAAGGTATGGAGACAGAAGTTGTAGGGTTGTGCATAAGGACAAGGGAGAAAGGCAGTTAGGTTGGAATGTAAAATATAGAAAGTGAAAGAAACGGACAGTGAGGTTGGAAGGTTGGAGTCAAGTTTTAAATGATTCTTTAAAAGCTGAACAAAGAAGTTTATATTTTGTCCTAGAGGCAATAGGGAGCCACCGGAATTTATTGAGTAGGAGAATGATATCACCAGATTTAGCTAATGGAAAATAACTTAGACTGCAGTGTGGATGATGGGCTGGAATCCATCTCCAAGATCATGTTAGCTTTCTTGACCACACCACTGATTCATTATTAACTTTGAAGTTTGCTAAAATTCATTGATTTTTTTTTCTAACAAAATGCTACCCAGCCGTGCCTTTTCTGTCTTGTACTTGCAAAGTTGATTTTTCTAGCCTAAATGTGAAGCTTCACATCTATTCTCTATTACATTTCATTCCTTTTTTTGGCCCAATTTCCTTTCAGTTCAAATTTTTCTAAATCCTGACTATCCAGTGAAATACTTATCCATCCCAAATTACTGTCATCTGTCAAACGTAATGATATCATTTAATCATTTTTCCAAATCATGGATAAAAATGTTAAATGTCACAATACCAAGTCCAGATCTTTGCAGTGCCCTGGAGACCTTCCAAATTAATTTGAACCCATTAATGATGATTTTCTGGTTCTGGCCATTCAGCCATTTAAAATCTCCACATATTTGTATTGTCATCTATCTCATATCTATTCACTTTTCACGCAGACTTTATCAAATTGTGGCTGAAATCTAAGCAAACCTTATCTACAGCAGAGGTGTCAAACACATAGACTAAACACCACAATGCTATATTCCCAAATATACCCAAATTAGATTAAAATGTAATTGGGAAATATGTAACCAAATAAATAAAAATACGATAGAACATTTGTTCAATCATTTCAGATCCTTTGTGATCTCATTTTGGGTTTTCTTGGCAAAGATACTGGAGTGGTTTGCCATTTCATTCTCTAATAGATCCATTTGTTAGGCAATTGGGTTAAGTAATTTGCCTGGGGTTACATAGCTAGGAAGTATTTGAGGCTGGATTTGAACTCAGGTCTTCCTAACTCCAGACCTAGTATTCTATTCACTGAGCTACCAGCTACCTAATGATAGAACATAGAATATGTTAGTATGTGGTTTTTTTAAGTCAATATGCAGCCTACAGAAATTCTTATATATGGTTTTATGGCCCTATTTCTGTTTGTCTGGTCTGTGGTATGTTCTTGATCATCCTGTTTAGTAACCACATGGGAGAAGAAAATAAGCGGATTGGGTCACAATCATGTTCTTGATGAAGCTACTATGGATCATTTTTAACATCTTTTCTACATTTTTACTAATCATGCCTTTAATAATACATCAAAGAATTTTGCCAAGAATCAAATTAAGTTCACTAGCCTATTAGCATATATTCTCTTACTCTGGTAAAAATGGAGCCTAATCTGCCCTTTTCTAATTCCAAAGGTACCTCTCCCATTCTTCATGATGTTTCAAAGACGACAGTAATGGGTCAATTTCTATTAATTTTATCAGTCCTTTTGTTACCCTAGGATATAATTCAGCTGGTCCTGGTAACTTGAACTCCTCAAAGGAAACTTACTCTCTTACTCTCACCTTCCCAACAAAGCCAACCAAGACGGAAGATAATAAGGAGAGTATGGTATGACAGAAGTCATGAGAGGAGAGAGGATTGAGAACTTAGGGGTGCCAAATGCTTTAGAAAAAGTTCGATGAGGATGAGGCCACCAAAAAAGAAGCAACTGGGTTGTGCAACTTGGAGATCATTAGAAAGCTTGGAGAGAGTTTCAGGGTCTAGTAGCCAGCCTGAAGGGTTTTGAGGAATGAGTGCTGCCAGGTGCAGTGGTTGATTAGAAATGAAAATTCCTTTCTACCATTAAGAAGTGTAAATACAATGATGTTGTCAAGACTATGAACTTTAATTTTAATTTGAGTTTTGTTATTCCTATAGTTACAGACAAAATGACATAAAGTATATTTTTATTACCTACATAAAAAGTGCTAAAGCATGTGCCACCATAATGTGAAGCAGTCTTCTGCCTGATTAACTAAGAAAGAAAAGAAAATAGTCTCTGGATAGTCTCTCTTTTAACAATTACCTCAAAGTGTAACCATCTTGGATGGTCCAAGATTATGAAGGGATGTGCTTGAAAACTGACTTCTATGCCATGATTTTATGGCAATGTGTAGGGGTTGAGAGGAGGAAAAGCCGTGGCGAGGGAATATATTTTGATCACATTTACAAGTGTTTAAGACAAACTTATGCTTCCTCTTTTCCAATGCTGCTTGGCAGATGACCAAGCACTCTCACTAAAGTAGAAAGGGAAAAGGCAAAAGGCAAAAGAGAGTTATTATCTTAGAGCAGTTCCAACTTGGCAACATTATACGTGGTCATAGCTGTGTGAAGTGACAAATGTGTCACTGTTTCTTAAAACTCAGAAATTTTTAAATTCTTCCAGACCCCTCTGACAGCAGGCATTCTGGTACACTGGAAAAGAGCTCCAGGCTCAGAGCCAGAAAGCTTGGGTTCACAGGTCAGCTCTGTCATTTGCTAGTTGGGAGGCTATCAGCAAGTCACTTAAACTCTCTGAACCTCAGTCTCCTTATTCATTAGGTGGGAAAAGTAATAATTGCATGACCTTTCTAGTTTTCTAATATGTTATTCCTCTTCATGCACTGTACAATTCAGCTACACAGGTCCACCTGTTCTTCAAATATGACACTCCATCTCCCAACCGCACATTTGCACTGAAAATTCCCCATACCCCACCCCAGAATTCTCCCCTTCCATAATGTCTTTTTAATTTCCCTGGATTCCTTCAAAACTCAGCTTAAATCACATCTTCTGCAGGAGGGTTTTACCATTACTCCCTTCTTTCCAGTGCCTTCTCATCGCAGGCTCCCTTCCATTTATACTCTTTTACATGTATTTGTATGTTGTCTCTTCCATTAGAAGATGAACTTTCTTGAAAGAGAGACCATGTTTTTACCCTTCTTGGCATTCACAGTGCTTAGCACAGTGTGTCTCACACATAGTAAGTACTTCTTCATACTTGTTGACTTACTGACAAGATCTGTTATTTGAAAAGTGTTTTTAAGTGGTAAAGCATTAAATAAATGAGCTATTATTACTAAAAAAATTTCTTTCCATTTTCTTTGAATTTTCAGCATAAACACGAAAAATAAATGGGTATAAAAACCATTATACAATATGAGTTTATATCTAGGTATGCTCAAAGGCAATTACAGATGGGTATAGTAATAGAATGAATGCAAGGAGAAACTTTGATACTGAATGACTCAACTGTACTAATCTTCAAAATAATTGCAGTCCTCAGTCCTCAGGAACATCCAATAATACACAGTTGACTTGAAGAAAATGACTATGTATCCCTTAAACCAAATAAAGAACTAGGGTGATTCCGTTCATGTATGGAGGTGGGGAAAGAAAGTCAAGGTACTTTTGTATTTTGCAGAAAGTCTGAAAGGGCAAAGAGTGACTAAATAATCCTCCAAAGATTATGTCTTACTGTGCTCCCTCAACATAAATGGAAATGGGAATAAAGAAATATCCTCAGACTGAATCAACAATTCTGTAATAGACAAATGGTCAAAAGATATGAGCAAGTACTTCTCAAAGGAAGAAATCCAAGCTATCAATAACCATAATTAAAGAGTACTCCCAAATCACTAGTAATTAGACAAATGAGAAGTAAAGAACCTGTGAGGTTCTACCTTACACCACCAGATTGGCAAAGATTACACAAATGACAAATTTTGGAGGGACTGAAGGAAAACAGGCATACAAAGGCATGGTTGGTGGTGCTTTGAATTGGTTCAAGCATTCTGAAAAGCCATTGAAACCATGCCCCCAAAGTCCATAAACCACGTATGCTCTTTGATCCAGCAAGGCCACTACTAGGCCTACATAAAGATTGAAGATGAAGCATGTTACACACCTCCTGATAGAGAGGGGATGGATTCAAAATTAAGATTGAGCCATACATTTTTGGATATGGCCAGTGAGGGAATATGCTTTGCTTAACTATGTAAATTTGTTACAAAGGTTTTAATTTTCTTTTTGTTGTTATTTTTCAGTTGGAAGAGTAGAATGGGAAAGAGAGAAAAATAGATATTTACTAATTTAAAATTAGAAAATTATTTTTTAAAGATTGAATTAACATGTTTCTCTTGTTCATCTCTACAGAAGTTGCAGCTACTCTTGGAACAGTATTTCAGCCAGCTCCATTTACCTTTAGGAGGGTCCTGCTGAAACACCAGAGATGAAATCAAATTCCCCCAGACACCAGAGGACTGAAATATGAGATAGAAGATGCCAAAATACTGGTTGATGACATCTTTCCCAAGTTTTCCTGTCTTCTTTGCATAAATATTTCCACTCGTTGTAAGGTAAGTAGACTCTGCAGACCACAGTGGGGCTGCTCCTAGACCTAGGATTATGGCAGTGGGGATCAAGGTGAACCTACAAAAAGATAATCTGTTAGTCAACATAAATATTTACTATTGAGAGAAATGAAGTAGCTCAGCTCTGCCTTGTTTGAACTCCCAAGAGGCATCTCCCCAGAATAAGCTGATTATTTGAAATATCATCATACCAACTCAGCCTTGAATAGTCAACACCTTCCCAATTTCCTCAGCCTCCTCCCCCCTCTGACTGAAGGGCTGGAGGGTAGAGGAAGTACTGAACTTCTTCCCAAGTCTCTCTTTATATTACAGTGGGCACAATATGGACTTTCTGGCTCACCTTCACTTTTGATCTACAATTCATCTTGGTTTGACCTCCATACAACAAGATGCCCCTGTGCTAGTTACCCCCTGGGATTCCTGGCCCCCTTTTCCAGCTATTTGTGTGTTGTCTTCCACCATAAGATTATAAGCTCCTAAAGGGCAAGGAATGTCTTTCATTTTCTTATTTGTATCCCCAATGCTTAACACAGTGCCTGACATACAGTAGGTGCTTTTAACAATGTTTTTTTAATAATTGAATTGAATAGAAGGACAAACCATTCATCATTGCACTTAAAGAAATGAGTAAGCAACATACTTTTTAGCTGAGGTATATGTGAAGAGAAGACACTAAGTGCCAATGAACTCTGGTCCTGAAAAGTTCAGTACATGTTTGCTAGGTTTCTTCAAACAAATTAAAAGTGCTGAAATAATATGAAAGCCTGGGTCTCCTCAGCTGGAATGCTATGTGATGCTGCTAAGCGTACAAGGAGGAAGGATACTATTAGATCTTTTCTGGCATCCTCCATTGCTGACTTCTCTAAATACCTGATCTGTACCCAGTGAGCAGTAGAATGTAATTGTCTGAAAGTCAGGGCTTTTGATAGGAGTTAGAAGAAGAGATATACCAGCTGGCATAGAAGTTTCCCAAAGAGAAAGTGATGTAGCAGCACATGGAGAACGTAATGGTCCACTTGCAGCCAAATTTCTTAATAAGAACTGGAGGAAGGAACATGGAAGATATAATCACAGATGCATAGATAACACTAAGTGTAGTCACCCCGAGTCCTTCCTCCATATTAAGACTGCTCTGTGAAAACAAAACAAACAAACAAAAACAGATAGTTACACAGAGTCAAGAGAGGGGCAAAAGAAAAGAGGGTTCTGTTATTTAGAGTTTTTCCTAAAATTTTTTGAAAAATTGAATAAAATCTTTACCCCCCCTCTTTTTTTAACAAATACATAAATTTATTCACTTTACATGCATTTAGAATCTATCCCTCCCATTGTCTCCCCCACCCTTAACTGAGCAAACAAAAACCTGATCATAAACATAATTCAACAAAACAAACTCCCACATTGGCCATCACCACAAATTAATATGTTTCTTTCTGTATTTTAAATTCATTGATTTTTTAGCAAGAGGCAAGTGGTGTGACAAATGCCATCTCTCAAATTCCATGTGGTTGTCCAAAAAAAAAATTACCCATCAGAATTTTATATCATTACTTTTTGTAGTAGAAAGAATTTAAAACAAAGTATATGCTGATCTATATGATTATATTAATTGTGGTACATAAATAAAATGGAATATTACTCCTCTGTAAAAAAAATAAAACAAAAAATTAATAAAAAAACAAAGAACCATGAGAAGACATATGACCTGATGCAAAGCAAATTGAACAGAACCAAGAAAACATATGAAAAATGTCTACAAAAATTAAAATGTAAAGAACAACAAAAATCAAAACAGAATGCTATAAAATTACCATCACTAAGCTTAGCTTAGAAAAAGAAGAGGTACAAGAATGCACTTCTTTCTCTTCCCCGTAGAGGTAGGAGACCACATATGATTTCTCACTTGGTTGACAGAGGACAGAGATGTATTTGGAAATTAAAGTCTTGTAGAATGAATTACAACATTTTAAAAAATCTGTTGAGGGAAGGGAGCAGAGAAAGACTATGGAAGCTATAGAGGTAACATAAACCACTATTCCTTTATAAAAGGAGTGGATATTCTGGTTGCACACCAATGTAACCACAACTTGATGGTAGATATAGTCATTGGGCTACAGACAAGTTTATATGCATGAGAAAAAATGAAATCCAGCATGATTTTTTCTCCCTCTTTTTTGACTCAAATCTCAAGAATAAAAATTATGCCTGATGAGATCTTTTGAAATCCCACC